TATAACTTTCTTATTTGAGTTAAAATATAATTATTTTGAAAATTGAATAAATCTGTTAAATTTGAAATTAATGGCCACCAAATATATTTAAAAGTATCATCTTCTCAAAACATTTTTTTAAAACATCAAGTCATTGAATGAGCATTTAACACAATCTTATGTATTTGTTTTAATACTAATATAAATATAAATATTGATTGTATTCATATAAATTAATTAATTAACTTTCACTGGCATCACCTTCATTCGATTCTCAAAATATCAATCGGACGGCCATCCTATCTCGGTCTGGGGGAACCCATTGCTCACCGCGAAATCAGAGCGGAATGTCCATTTCCTTCGGCGCCAGGTCTCCCGCAAAAGCAGCTCCTTCTCCCGCGGTATTGCTACCACCCACCGAAAGCGACTCTTTTGCGGAGTGAGGACTCCTGCACCGCTGAAGAAAGTTGGATTCTTCGCTCTCCATTCTCTCTTTCCTCCGCCTCCTCTCCCTTTTATGGGAACACGGTCTCCAACTCTTACGAGTCTTCGCAAGTTCGCCCGCGTTGCATCGGAGAGAGAAAAGGCAGCGAGGTTTGACCTGGTGAAGCCCACGCTAAAATCGCTGGCTTCTTCTCGGGAGGAGGCCGCTGCGCCAATCCCCGGCGACGCTGCCTGTGCGAGGCCGTTTATGGAAGGTCCTCCAGGGACAGCGAGGCGGCGGGAAGAACGCCTGCCACTTTCTGACGTGGTGGCGGATTGTATGCGTCGTTGGTTCAGGGATGCCCTTGCGGAGGCCAAGGCTGGCGAGGTCGCGATGCAGGTTCTTGTTGGTCAGATGTACAATAGCGGCTATGGCGTTCCTCGGAATGAGCAAAAGGTGTGTTCAGTTTTTGTTTCTCTTTTGGTTGGTGTTGGTGGAGTTTGAAAGCTAGGGTTTTGTAAAATGCAATGGCGGCGAGCTTTTATGCCGTTAAGCCATTTGTTTGGAGTTTGTTCGTTAACCTATTCCCCAGTACTCCAATGATGAGCAGCAATTGAATTTTTGGCTGTTTTATATTGGAAGCTGATATTGTGGCTTCGGATCAATTGAATCATTGAGTACTCTGTGACTTAGAAAGTACTCTGCAATGTTTTTATTGTTAACTGCCGCTAAAGCCTTCATCCTGTTAGTGGGAAACATAATACTATGCAATGCATTATAGTTAATCATTAGCTTCATAAGACTTATGCCAACTATTCGGGATTGACCTTTTTTAATTAATTATTTCATTAGTTTTGACTTGAGATCATTATCTTCATAAGACTTATGCCAACTATTCGGGATTGACGTTTTTTAATTAATTATTTCATTAGTTTTGACTTGAGTTTTAGGACTGACTTCTAAACTAACATCATGCTTTGTCTTTCACATTCAGACTGTAGGCTCAAGAAAATGTTACCGCAAAAGAAATGACAACAATAAATAATTGCAATAGATATACTTTTGATCTCACGTCAGCCAATGTTTACCATATCATCATGCTATGCATTCTTTGATTGTATTCGTTTATGGAACTTTCGCCCTTTCCTTTCTGTATATCTATCTTTTCAATTGAGTATTTTATGTAAAGCAGTTGTTTTGTGGTTTATTTTCAGATAATTTTGATGTTACACTTTTTGATGATGTGGTAATATAAAAGATCACTAACTGCTGTTGCGCTGACTTATAATGATGTTGTAAAATTTATGATTTTGCCTGCTTTATGCACTTCCTTATAGGCTAGATTGTCTTACGTCTTATAATTTTAGATCATATAACTTGTTTTAAAGAAATTATATCATTATGTTGTTATTTATGTGTAGACAAATTTAAATTTCCAGCATTTGGCATCTTGGTGAATCAACCTAATCGGACCTGAAGTTCTATGACTTCAGAATGTGTTATTGAGTCTGTATTTTTGCTTTAGTAGTCTCTTGAAGTTGATCTTGATTGTTTGAAAGGATAAACTTTTACATCCAGGACATTGATGTGACCTCTGTGTCTTGATTTATTTTTAACTTGTCTAAATGTATCTGCTTGATTGACACGTAATAAGTTAAGGAGTCAGATTATTAAGAGCAACCCTTCAAATGTGGTGTGCTTCAGAAAACACTGTTTCCTAGTTGGCGATTTTTTGAATTCTCATATCATGGAAGGTAACCTTTTGCAGTTTGTATATGTTCACATTTAGTTTTTGTGAAATTGAAATGATATATTGTTGTGCTATAGTAAACTGTATAATTTTAATTTTCCTTTTCAATTTTTTTTCTTAATTTTGTTATTTTGTGATTAATGTCTAATTTTATTCACACTTTTTTTGGGACTATTTTTTGTAATTTTGGAATTTCATTTCTTTTAGGCAAAGGTATGGCTTACTAAAGCTTCAAGGTACAGGTCTTCAGTTTGGAAGGTCAGCGAGAAACATCCAGGTTGGACTATTAGAAAGTAGATTTTTAATTGCCTAAACTATTTAAGTATTGAGTGAAGAGCATGTGTGAAGAAATTTTCTACAATAGCGTTACTTTGAATTTGGTGAGTATTATCTAGTGAGCATTTTTTATGATAATTGTTCTCTGCTTTTTAGGTTATAATGCTAGTGAGTCAGATTCTGATGAGGTAAAGAAGGATGAGAGTTGACAACCGAGTTTGATTAGAGATATGGACCATCTGGTAAGTTAAACATTTAGTTCTTGAAATTTTAATTCAACTTAGATAAATTGCTTTATGCCGTTATTGAAATATTATCTATTATCGGACTTTTATTACTAGAAATATGTTTTTGTTATTAATTTTTGGGCTGTTTTAGGCTATTTTTTTTTATTGTGGTGCAAAAAAGATCATTTTATTTGAATTGGTTAAATTATACTTCCTTATTTTTTCTAGGATTAACTTACTCCTTGCTACCTCTAAAATTTGGTCAGAATGCAATCTCATTTGTCAACCGTCATATTTTGCTTTTAAAATTTTTTTTTTTTGATGGATGGTTGCTGCAACAATACATGCTTCACCTTGTTATCATTATTAGTAACTTAAATGAGTAATTTACATTGGCATTTGAAAATGTGCGTTGTTTTTAGCTTTTGAAAACAGGAGAGATAAATATTATGAATGATGGGGCTGATCACTAGCACTATTGTTATCATTCATTTTTTTTCAATTTATGATCAAGTGAATAGCTGATTTTACCAAAGTTTTCTCGAGCTATTTAGTAGACTTACAAACCTCTTAAAACACATTTGGGCAATGATAGAAAATTATTAACATTGTTTTCTCGTTAGATTTTTAACAACTACTATGAAGTTTGTCGTGATTTCTAGATGCTGAAAAGGGTGGATCTTGTAATGTTGCTTCGTTCTTATCATAACATGGAGCCTACAGGTTCTTAATGTAGATACCTCACCCCTATATAGGGTAAGATGGTTTTGGTCAATCACTCTTGAAACTTTATGTAGTTGAATTTCAAGGCTCATCATTTTCCTATGGTGCTTTTTTTTGGCTATTCCTATGGTGATATTCCTATGATTAGTTTATTCCCACAAAGTTTGAAATCAAGGATCTAGGAATCATGAGATATTTCTAAGTATGGAGGTAGTAAAGTCCAAGAAAGACATCATTATATCTCAGAAACAATGCATCCTAGATGTACTAAAAGAAACAAGGATAACTGGATGTATGCTTGTTGATACTCCAATGGATCCCAACTACAAATCAAAGAAGGGAGAAGAAAGTGTCTTTGTGGATAAGGGAAGCTATCAAAGATTGGTAGGAATAACCATCTACCTGTCACATACGAGGCTAAATATTGCTTATTCTATCAATATTGTGTGCCAACACATGAATATCCCAGATGAAAGAGTATCTGGAGATGTACATAATTCTGTGGTTGTGAATTAATCTTGAGAAAACTAGTAACAGAGAAGTCGAAGCCTATACCGATGCTTGTTGGGCTGAGGAACTCACTGACAGAAGGTTTACAATATGTTACTGTTTCTATGTGTGGGAAAACCTGGTGATATGGAGAGGTAATAAGCACACTGTTTTTCTAGAAGTAGTGCAAAATCATGATATAGAGTGTCTTGGGATTTCGTGAAGGGATCTAGATTAAAAAATTGTTAAAAAACTGGGATGTACCTTCTATAGGCCTATACAATTATTCTGTGACACTCATGCAGCTATCAATATTATCAAAAATCCTATACATCATGACAGGGAAAAGATATTGAAGTTGGTAAACACTTCATCACTGAAAAGGTTAATGGGGGAATTATATAGCTAAGCTACATCTCGATACACCAACATGTTTTTGTTGTATTTACCAAAGCTCTTTCTCAAGCACCTTCTTAGAATTCACTACCAAACTTGGTCTCTACAATATACATGACCTAGCTTGAGTGGGAGTGTGAAAATCTTAGAAGATTTTATGGAGGATTTAATTGGGACAAATTAGGAAACCCTTTATTAGTTTATGCCCTCCCTATTCTATTTTGTTTATTTTTTATTTTAGAATTGGTTTCTTTCCTAATTTATGTTAGATATTTTTTGTATGTTTGGAAATTAAGAGAGATTGTTTTCCCTATATATATCTACCCTGCACTTGATTGAAAGAATCACGGGAATTATTCCTTCCCAAACCTATTTTTCTACATAAGTAATTTTTATTAAAAGAAATGACCTGATATCTTATATCAGGTAGGACTGTCAAAGGTGGATCTTGCATTTTCTTTGATGTTTCGTGTTCATACCCATGAAAGCTAGGGAAGAAATAGTCCCTTAAGCCACCTATGCAACTTATGTGGAGAGATTAGGATTAATGACTTCTCAGTATTCAAGACATTATTCTTAAGCTGGTTTCATAAGAGTAATATTTGTCAAATCACTAGATAATGCACTGTAAGTTTTTTTTTTCCTAGAGATTTTATTGATGTGATAGTATGTGAAGTTATAACGTTAAATGCATTTCATCTAATGCTAGGTAATCCAGAGATGTTGGATAATGCTTTTATCTTTTAGGTTTTGTATGGCAACAAATGAGATTTAATTTTGGAGGACCAAGATTCTTTCGGTGATCTGATTATATGTTCTCAAAGTTTTTGTGTATGCAATTGGATGGTTTTTGCACCAAATCTTGGTGTAGCTGATAGGATTTGGTTTTCTAGCTGCAAGAAAAGTTTCAAAACATATTTAGGCATGATATGATGGGATGAATTTAAGTTTAACAAATCAAGATTTAGTTGCATAATTTTCCCCTGTGCTTCATTGTATCATTGAGGCACAAAATTTTGTGATAGGGCTTTCTAGTTTTGATGAATCAATTATTTTTTCGGCAACAAATGTGCTTCAGCATTTTCTTGCGGGACTTACAGTGAGGTGCTAAGCTCTTTGCAGATTTTAGATTTTACAATGCGTGCTTGGAGAAAGAGTAGGCAGGGAGATTGAAGTTTGCAATAATATACTTGAATCAAGGGGAGAATTGTTAAATTTGACTCAATTATTGAGTTTCTCTAAACATATTTTCTAGTTTTTATGGAGATCATATAGAATGCATATAGAAATATGCGATTTTCAGAAGTATGCCTTACCCATACAACCTAATTTTGCTTGCAGGAATTGGAAAATCCTCTGGAACTATGCTTGACTACTATTTACATTGATATCTTGGCTTACACAAAATTCTTACTCGACGTTAGGGTTTGTGTGTGATCTCTTGTTTGTCATTAACATGCCATCTTAAGGCTTCATTGGAGGATTTGGAGACTTTTTTGGTGTTTATAATGATCATGTTTCTTGTCAGGAATCTTGTATTTAAGATTAATTGTGGGTCTTTCTTTGTTTCTAAGAGTGTACTTAAGTTTTTAGAAGGGTTGACAAGTGCTCTTGTTTTGTACGCCGTAATTTTGGTTTGTGTATTTTTTATGGATTTGATCATCTTTTCTTGTAGATGTAGGATTGGTTGAGGCCAAACCACATAAATCATGACATTTTTGGTGTTTTGTTTTAGGGCCCGTTTGGGGCAGCTTATTGACCTGCGGCGGTGTTTTCAAAACGCCGTCGTAGTGTTTGAAAAGAGCATTGGATGCGTTTTGCTGCCGCTCCGAAATGCCGATCCCAAATGTCTTAAGGAGGCGCGAAGCGGGAGGAGGCCTGCGTCTCGCGTTTGATTATCGCGTTAGGGTAAGATTTTCCTCCTGTGCTCTTCACAAGCCCTCCCGTTCTCACGACCTCCCATTCTTCCTTCGTCCTTCTACAACTTCTCTCACGGAGATCGACACCGAGATAACGGAAATCCTCACTCTCGCTCTCCCTGATATTCCTTTTGCTCCTTCTCGCGTCAAATGAGGTAGCTTTCTTGTGTTGTGAAGAAATAGAGAAGAGAGACAGATCGAGAGTGATTTTCTCATTTTCACATTTTTGCTTTATCTGAGAAGAGAGATCTGGTATTCAATAGTTTTTTGGAAATAGAGAAAAATTGCAACAAATTGCAAATAGAGAAAAATGTTTGCAAATAGAGAAAAATTTCACACTTCGCATCACTGTTGCCTTCTTGACCTCCCTGATTTTTTTCAGATTTTTGCAAATAGAGAAAAATTGCTACAGGGATTGATTTGCTACAGTGCCTTCTCGACCTCCCTGATTTTTTCAGATTTTTGCAACTAGAGAAAAATTGCTACAGGGATTGATTTGCTACAGAGGTTTGGTTGAGTTTGAGAAAAAATCCATTGTCTTTTGTTATCTATATATTGTTGGAGATCGATTTGAAGTTGCTTATCGGTTTGCAAAATTTTTGGAATGACTTGAAGTTAGTTTGTTGTTCTGTAAAGGCGAAATGGGATCTTCAAACCCATTACTGATGTTTTCGAAGTGTTCTGCATGTCTTTTGTTATCTATATGTTTAGGTGCTGTGATATGCAATTAGCTGCTGTGTAATGGGTTAATAAAACCGAATTTTTGGCTATTACAGTTGCTGTATTACTTGCGGCATTTCCATTAACTGCTGCTGTTCCATTGGCTATTACAGTTTCATTGATATATATGTTAATGCTGTTTCATTAGCTGCTGCGTTAACTGTATTGGCTGCAGCAGTTTTATGGTGACATGTATTAGCTGCAGCAGTATTAGCTGCTGAATGTTTTATTAGCTGCAGCAATAGTAGCTGCTGAATGTTTCATTAACAGTAAAGATTTGTTTCATTAGCAGTTTTATATCAGTATTTCATTCACATTTTGATGAGGTTGCTGCGGTTTAATGGGAAGAATTATAGTGCTATTTTGGAGTCTACGGTCTGCGGTTTAATGGGAAGAATTTTATTTCATTCACATTTTGATGAGGTTTCATTAGCTGCAAATGCCCCATATTTGCTGCAGCAGTTTAATGGGAGGAGTTATAGTGCTATTTTGCTGCGGTATAATGGGAAGAATTATATTTCATTCACATTTTCATGAGGTTTCATTAGTTGCAAATGCCCCATATTTGCTGCAGCAGTTTAATGGGACGAATTGCTCAATAAAACATGTTTATTTTTCTTCTGTGGATGTAGGTCATTGACCGAACCACATAACTCTTTCGTCTTTTTATATTTTGTCTGAATAATTTTATCTCTGTTCATTATGGAATTGTATGGCATTGTTTGGTTCATTGATATTCCTTACAGAATTGTATGGAATTAGCTGCAATGGATATTGCTTACGTTCACTGCTTACGGAATTGTTTAGGTATTCCTTATGGAATTGTATGGCAGTAAATTCATTAAACTGCGCTGTTTTTTGTGATGCTTTCTGGAATTTTAGTGATTCTTTCTCAATATCTTTGTGTGAAGCTTTTTGGAATTGAAGTGATGCTTTCTCGAAATTTTGTTGTAGTTCGAAATGTGTGATGCTTTATGGCAGTTGGAAGAAAGTTTCCTTTGTATGATTTATTTGTTTATGACAAGTAGGAATTAGGTTGTAAAATACACATAATTAGATTTGTCCATGTGCAATTATTTCTTCAATAATTTTCTTATGCATGTTGAGTTACAATATAAATTTCTTTGTGCATATGCAATTCTTCATATAGTCCCACCATGACTAAGACAATTAAAGGTGCTCCGTCAGCGATGTGGGATAAGTTACAAATATTTTCTGCAACCTCTGTATCACCGAGATTGAGATCGGGAATAGACCAACAACCTATTTCAATAATGAAGGTTGGCAGAATATAGCTAAAAAGTTTAAAAAACTGACTTGAAGGGATTATGACAGACTGAAGTTTAAAAATAAATGAAATCAATTGAAGAAGGAATGAAAAATTTTGGAAGGAGCTGAAATGTGGATCCACCGATCTGGGCTGGGATCTCATTGAACGGACAATTGATGCTCCAAATGAATGGTAGGCTATAACACTATATATTCTGTCATAGAATAAATCAATTAGAGGTGCTATAGAGAGATTTCAACATTCATCAAAGACAATAAGCCGTTATTTGTTCAAAGGCATACAGACACTTGTAGCTTAGCTGCTAAAATCATCAAGCTGGAAGATCCATCATTTGCTAATACTTTAGTACAAATCGCAACCGATCGCCGTTACATGGCTTACTTCAAGATAAATATTGTTTTCTTTACGTAAATACCAAATTATAAATATTTTCTAACCTAGTAAAACATAACTGCATATATGCAATTGACAGTACTCACGTTGATGCCCGACTACCCAGTCAGGACACAGTTGCTTACATTGGTCAAAGTGGTTCAACCACTCAAAATATCATGACAGTGTGTGACTTTAACAAGTGTTTCACATATGTCATGGCGGGCTGGGAAGGGAGTGCACATGATAGTCAAATTTTCTCTTATGCAATTAGGAATAGATCGCGGGGTTTTCCTCATCCGCTTTCAGGTATGTTTTGATTTATAAAAGTCATAGTTATATGTATTTATTGCAAATAATAATGTCTTTTGTACTAGAGAAATACTATTTGGTTGATCGTGAATACCCTATGCAGAGGGGCTATCTGAAGCCATATCCAGACCCTTTGTACCATATTCCTGATAATATTTTTAATTTTGAGTGAGCTAGTGACACCATTCATGGTAGGAAAGAAATGTTTAACAAACGTCACTCCTCTTTACGCGGGGCAATTAAAAGAACGTTTGGGGTTTGAAAGAAGAAATGGGTCATCCTACGTGATATGACGTCATATCCATTTCCAAAGCAGGTGCATATTGTGGTGACAACAATGACACTTCATAACTTTATCCGAAGACATCCTTTACGTTCAGATACAGACTTCAGTATGGCTGATAACATGAGCTGAATATCTATGAAGAACCATCTGAATTTTTGGTCGGGTCTTCAGTTCCTGAGGATGAGAATGACTGTACTGAATTTGAAGTTCATGACGCTGAGGGTGTGGCTGAGATGACTGCTCTGAGGGAGTCCATAGCAGATGCTATCTATGACAACTGATCCACCAAGTCATTTTTTCGTACATTATAGGTTTATTTTGATATGCAATTTTTTTTTTAATTTTTTAAGATCTAACATTCAGTTTTTGTTTTTTTTGGCAGTTATACCAACATGATTTGTAGGATTTCAGTAACAAATAGAGTTGTTTTGTGTTACTGTGGACTACCTGCTCCGTTACTCACATCACGTCAGCCTCGTAGCAGTGGGAGATAGTTCTACGATTGTCGCAAAAGTGTTTCAGCTCGTTGTGGTTTCTTTCGATGGGCCAACAGTCCCACATGGTACACTGCTAGCAGTGATGAGAATCCGATGTTCTCCCAGGTTGATAATACAGCTGAGGACAAACGTAGTCAAAGTTTGAAATTGAATATTTTAATATTTCTTATTATAGTTGTACTTGTTTCTATAATTTTTTTATTTTTTTTGATACTCACGAGGGTGTGAGAACTGCATGTCATGTTTTGGAACTGATCTGTGATGATTTCATGCTTCTGCACTATATGTTTCTGTACTATATGTTTCAGTTCTTATTTTAGTTATATTTCAAACAA